ATATATAAACTTTGGTCACATTTTATTTTTTAAATTTTACAAAATGTTAAAACTATTTCTACAATAATATAATTAAAATTGTATAATCTTTTAAATCTTTTATTATTGTCCTTTGTTCGACATAATTTATTTCTTTTTTTTCAAATTGGAACCCTAAGAAAAACAAAGCACAAATAAAATACAAATTATATTATACATTAATTTTATTTTTATTTTATTTTTTTGAAAAATTTGGTATTCCTATAGTTAAAAATTTACTTGAAGAACCAATTATTTTTAAGTTATTCTCTTTTGTTGTGATACTTAATTGTTTAAAGTTTTTTCCTTTTCCAAGTGTAAATATGAAATTATAGAAATAAAGTTTTTTTTTCTTGTATTATAAACTTTATAAATAAAACTAATGAAATTGCAATATTATTTTATTTATTATGTTTTACACTAGTTTTAAAAATTTTATTTTCTATAAAACTATCTTTCATAAGTTTTAAAGTATGTGAAGTATGTAACATCCTCATTTCAAAATAGTATTAAGGATGGATTATTAATTGATGATGGGTGATGTTGGAAAGTATTAAGAAGGATTTTAAAGTGTTTAGTAGAGTTTTGATGCAGGAGAATCTCGCTCAAACGAGATATACCTCGCTCAGGCAAGATTGCATGCTCAGGATTATCCCTTTCTAGAGTATTCTCGCTCAAGCGAGACCAAATTAGATTATCCCAATTGCCACCTCGCTCAGGTGAGTTGGAGCTTGCCCAAGCGAGCAATCGCAAGAAAATCTGGAACTCTCTGGATACCCAACTTGCTCAAGCAAGAAAGGCGTCGCTCAAGCGAGAATACCAGAAAATGAGTAAAGAACCACCGTCTGCATATCTCACCCAGCGAGATGTGTCTCGCCCAGGAGAGGTACTCCTCGTTCAATTGAGAGCGCACGATCTTAGGGTGTTTAAGGAATTTTCAGAGTGAGATATTTTATTTCATTTAATCTTCGTTTCGAATCCTCTTGTTTTCTCTAGATTCTCACTCTCTTTTCTTCTAGAAATCTCTTCCAAACTGCAATTCTTACTTTAATCCAAGTTTGAATCCTCAATCTAAGCAACTCAAAGGAAGTTTCCTTGAGTTTATATCTAGATTTACTGATCGTTTCTATCCAAGTTCTATTTTTAAAAGGTTATCTCGTGCTGTATAGGAAGAATCTTCGTCTAAGCAATCATCTTCATCAAACTTCTCCTAAATCTTTATATCAAGGTAAGAAGAGTTCAATTCTATCATTAGAACATAACAATATTTATAACCGCAAAACCCCAATAGTGTTTATTTTTGTGGTGAAAATATATAGATATTAAGATGAAAATTTTAAGTATTATGATAGGTTGATGATGTATATTTCTCTGACCTTAAGAGGTTTAGTTGATGATAATTAATTATTATGAAATATAATTGATTATGTTATTCGATTTGGGTTGAGTCCAGAGATATCCGATCTCTAGCAAAATTGTTTGATGGATGGTCAGATTTTATGTGTAAATCGTATGATGATGTGGTTATTGGATTTGATAAAAAAAACTAAGTATATATGGAAAATGAGTCAAATGATGAATAATTTGCATGAGAAGTATATGTACTGTTGTGAAAATATTTAAATGGAACTGAATCTGTGAAATATGGAATTTTGATGAAATTGTAGAATCATGAGATGTATGTTTACAATGTAAGAATTGTAGCTGTGAATTGATGTGATTGATACAGGTATTGCGACACATCAACTGCTATATTCACAATATATGTATCGTAATACATTGAATTATATGGCCACAATATGTATATTGTAACATGCTAATCTGTATATGATATATGAACAGATAAATTAGTGTGAATAGCCACAGCGATACACTGGGAGTATGGAATAGGGAGTCGACTATGGAAGTCTGAGCAAAACGCAGGTGATGGATGACATTCGCTAAATATGCACAATTTATAAAGTTGCGAATGCATCATATGGCCACACACGCGTTTTCTGGCTAACACTCCTGACTGTACTTTTTTTAAGGGACCCTATAAGTGTAGACGTTGTATCCGTATACATGGGTTAACCGGCAGTTATTCACCTATTGTGTAAGACCTCATGAATATGTTAAGGCAATTTTGGGATGTGATTACTTTGTATGATAAATTGTTGAGTTAAAAATGAAATGGATTGAATATGTTATTAGTATATATAAGAGTCATAAGGTGATTAGAATATGATTAATAATCGAGTATTTTATTAATTTTATGTAAATATGATATGACAATTTTATAAGAATTAATGTGTTCGTTTTGCATATGGATTGTAAAGTATATTTTCTAATATATAAATCATACTTACTGTTATGTTTGAATGATAAGAAAAGAACCCATCCTTACAAAATATTTCAGGTAACAGGAATGACGGTTAGGAACAAACTCTAGGCGGTTGGGCATGAATCGGAACTGCTCTCAGAAAATGTTGTTTATGATGATTTTGTAGTTAAATATTTTATCTTGTATATATATTTTGGCTAATAGTTTGTAAAGAGGATGTTTTCTTACATATAAAAATATATAATTTAAATTCAGTGTCTATAACTTTATGTTATTTTAATTTGGTAATATTATCCAATTACAGTTAGATTCTAATTCATTTACTGCTTAAATTAATCATAAATATATTTTAAAAAAAAGTTTTAGATTTCTCATATTTGAGAATATCCAATTTAGGACAAAAGCTAATTTATTTTTGGATTTAAATTTGAAAAAGATTTAAATTATTAGTTTTAATTAAAAAATCAGCAAAATAGTTAATTTGTTATAAATTATTATTTGTTTTCTAGAATTTAAAAAGTAGGATGTTACAAAATATCTATAATATTTAAAAGTTATAGGAACATCTTCAAATTTTTATTATCATCCTTAAAAAATAAATTATCACAAAAAAATAGTTGTATATTGAATATTATCAACATGTAATGTATACATATTAATGTAATAATATATAATTAAATTAATTTTAAAATTAAAAAATTAGAATGCATCCTTATATCTATAACAAAGTAACTACCTTGTCATTGTCACTGAGTATTTAACATTTTTATAGTAGCATTCACATTAAAATTTTAACTATAAAAGAAATATTTCTCTTATAATGGAACAAGAAATATATTATCAACCAATTTTTAGCGATATATCATTTATAGTTGCAAAAACAAATAATACTATTATGAACTTTAATTAAAAAAATAACTTTAGTTAATGAATAAAATTATATATAAAAGAATTTAAATTTACTCTACACTATTTGATTTTGCTGTAGTTAAAATTTTAAATATGTTATTAAAATTTTTTAACTTAAAAAAATCATAAATCCTATAATATTAATATTTTTAATAGTATGTACATCATTAAAATTTCTATAATAAAGTGAATAGGAATAATTAAACATTCAGTTAAGAAAAGAAAAGAAAAGTATTATTATTAATTATCATAATAAAAAAATTAATAAAATTTTCATACTTAAACTTCATATCGACTTAAATCTTTATTGAATTATTTTAAGTAGATAGAAACCATATTTATAAAATTTATTTAAATAAATAAATTTAAAAGTATAATAATATGATTAACTTAAAATTTCTTCACAATAATTTATGTTCACCTGGCAAATAATCAAGACTACATCGATTCAAGGTGTTTATGTTCACTTGGTGTAAACTATTATCATATTGTTAACTATTATTTAGGGTGTCAAGGGTGTCAATTAGTCTTGTTGTCTATTTATTGTTGAATTAGTTGCTTAGTTATGTTGTTACTAAGTTTTATTAGTTACCTAGTTGTGCTATTTTTAGTTACAAACTTTTGTTCTAAGCCAGTTATTTAATTAGTTTAATCAATTGCATGGAAATGTACAGACTAAAAATTATTGAGAGCAGCAAGAATGGATGTTGGCATGGCATCGTGTGACAACACACACTAGAAAAAATTTAAAAGGAAATATTAATTAGGCACCATGGCTTGTTCCCGTGTATAATTTATTCCTTTGATGGACCATATATATATATATATATATATATATATATATATATATATATATATATATATTTATTTATTTATTTTATTTTTTAATTTCATGAATCCTTATCAATTTGTATAAAGGACAGTATTGAAAAGTTTGTCTAACCTGTGATACCTAGCTAGTTTTGTCATCACCATTGTGCTACTCTAGGTTTAGCGAAGTGCGGTTAAAATCCACCTTTAGACCTTTGAAAGTCATTTCCACTGTGGCTTAAAATATTTTTCCAAGCAAGAAAATGCCTTCTTCATATGAATTTACAGTGTCATGAGCAAAAAAATTGAGAGAAAACTTGCAAATATTGCTTTCCCAATTTACAAATCTCATTTCGCAGTGTGAATAAGAAGCTGATAATTACATATATGACATACGAGATGATATATAAATTTAATTGTCCTTTTCATAGTTGTGTGAATACCAATGCTCATTGGTCCAAGATACCATTCACTGATTTTCCTTTTGTTATATCCTTTTACATGGCAACTAACGATACAGAATATTGTTCACAAGCTAGAAAACTGTAAATATTTAATTACTTAGTTCGAAAGAAACTTGGATGTTGTAGTTCACAATACTTGGAATTTTACATATGGGACCACCAATGCACAATGGTCCCGGTTCTGAAACCCTTACTATTTTTTACCAGTGTACTACTTATATATCTATTCATTAAATACAGCCTATCCAATATCATATATGGCAATTTCTTATTGGATAGAAGACGAATTTAATGATATTTTGTGGATATTTGATCTATTAGTGAAGGAAGGAAATCGATTCAAAGATGACACGTGGTATGAGAAGAAATAAGAGGACAAAAGCAGTGCTCCAAACCAATAGGAATTCAGATATAGATTTCATAAGATAAGGACCTCCTTCTTCTTCGAAGTCATATATAATACCCCTCTAAGGTTCCACAACTACAAACATCATCACTAACCATTCCCTGAAATTTTCAGTTTACAAAACATTTCTATAGAATTGTGCAATGGCTGCCTCAACAATGGCTCTCTCTTCTCCGTCATTGGCAGGGCAAGCAATAAAGCATGCCCGATCCACCCCCGACCTTGGAAGTGGAAGGCTCACAATGAGGAAAGCAGTCACCAAAACTTCTGGAAGCCCATGGTACGGCCCAGACCGTGTCTTGTACTTGGGCCCACTCTCTGGCACTCCCCCATCCTACCTCACTGGTGAATTCCCAGGTGACTATGGCTGGGACACTGCTGGGCTTTCCGCTGACCCAGAGACATTTGCCAGAAACCGCGAACTTGAGGTCATCCACTGCAGATGGGCCATGTTGGGAGCCTTGGGCTGCGTCTTCCCCGAACTCTTGGCCCGCAATGGGGTCAAGTTCGGCGAGGCCGTGTGGTTCAAGGCTGGATCCCAGATATTCAGTGAGGGTGGGCTTGACTACTTGGGCAACCCAAGCCTGATCCATGCACAGAGCATCCTTGCCATCTGGGCCTCCCAAGTCATCTTGATGGGTGCCGTTGAGGGTTACCGTATTGCCGGTGGGCCTCTCGGCGAGGTCACTGACCCACTCTACCCAGGTGGCAGCTTTGACCCATTGGGCCTTGCTGATGACCCAGAGGCTTTTGCTGAATTGAAGGTGAAGGAGATCAAGAATGGTAGATTAGCCATGTTCTCCATGTTTGGGTTCTTTGTTCAGGCTATTGTGACCGGAAAGGGTCCTTTGGAGAACCTCGCTGACCACCTTGCTGACCCAGTCAACAACAATGCTTGGGCCTATGCCACAAACTTTGTTCCCGGAAAGTGAGCAAAAACCTTCACTGAGACAATGAAGAACACCAGTGACATGCAAATCTTGAGTGAGATTTTCGTGTTGTTATTTGGTAAAATTTATATTAGATGTATCCTTCTGAAGAGAATGTGAATTATATATATTTTGGGTTTGTTTAGATATATCTTTTTGTATCATTTATGCAATTTATTCACCAAGCTAATAAAGGAGTGAAATACACAATGGATGGCCCCTGCATAAAATGAATACGATACAATGATTAGGCTACTTGTAAGGAATGTGGTATGGTAAAGAAGAAATATGTCAACAAAGAGAGCTGAGGGGTATCCACTAAAAGCATCCCATGGAAGAACAATTTGAGGATCAATATATAATGCAACATATGTAATCACAGAGCAATCCTTACAACTACCCTAATCATAGTAATGACACGTAAACACAAAACTTAACCAATCGAATCCCAATCCTTCTATTCTCCCAAATGAATGCACAAAAAGAGGTTGCTCTTTGCCCCATTAGCACAATGCTATGAGCAAAGAACAGGCAACAGGTGAACCGAATTGCAACTAAAATGACGGGTTTTAACGACATAAATAGTCTCAAAAGACCTGAAAAGAAAACCTATTCTGTGAAACATCGGTTGCACTGATGCAGATTGAATTAACCTTATGGAATTCCTGCAAAGGAATCTAATCAAATAACTAGCATTTCAATCCAAAGACCAATAGCGTTGTTTTAAGTAAAATTGATTGGTGAGTTAAACGCATAAGCACCGAAGCAAATCAAATAACATCCGAATACTTGTCAAGCCAGCTAAAATTTGGAACAAATGATGCTGCTTAAACTTCAAAACTAAAAGAAATTCTTAATATATTTATATAATTTTGGTTAATATATTTATATCATTTAAATCGAATAAATATTCACTTTAATCTTTAAATATATTTCATTATTTAAATTATTCTCTTAAATTTAAAATTTTAGTACTTATAATTAATAATCGTCAATCACATTAATTATTATAGTTAAAAAACATTAAAATTAATAATTTATGATTTGTTACATTAAGTAACATGTGAAAGTTTATTTTAGATACAAAATGATGTCGTTTTAAAATCTTTTAAAAATAATTTATTTTTGTTCTTGATTTTTGAAATTTTAAAATAATAAAATTTCTTCCACTTCTTCTATTTCATCTTTTTCTATAACGTCTTCTTGTATTTTTTCAAAAAAAAAAATTCTTTCATTGATGAAAAGTCATAGATTCAAACTTTTTTTTTAAAGTAAACTATCGATTTAATCCTTAATGTTTCATAACAAAGAATAATTAGTTTTTATTATAACTAAATAAAAAAATATTAGTGTATTTAAATTTCAATCAAATTAATCTTTACTGATTAGTAATCATTTGTTTAAGTTAATAAAAATGTCAAATAACATATTAAATGATAAGTTGACAGAACTATTTTGGCACTAATTGTTTCCTCCAAATCATTCTTTATTATGGTAGAAATATCTTAAACCCTTGTACTCTCTAAAATCATTAAAGAATGTCGTTGCAAATTGACTAAATTAAACGTTATTAAAACATTGAATATAAAAAAAATGTAAGTGGCACAAAATATCTATTGTGTGTAAAAATATGTACATTTGTTAGAATTTAATTCCTTATTATGAGATCAATGTTAACTTCAAAAATTTTGTATTTCCTTCTCAGCATGGTCCTGCTTCCTGCGTTGAGCCTGAAATAAACAAGGAAGAGCATCCCACATTAGTAGGGACTCATGAGTCCATAATTTTATTTCCATAGAGGCTAAAGAGCAATCAAATGGACTGTAGCTCAATAAGTTCCTGGATATCTTAATGAAACTTCACATTAACTTCTCTTTTGTTGAGGTAATCTCTCAAATATCCAAATATGTTAAGTTCTTCAAGGAGATGTTGAGTAATAAGAGAAAGTTAGAGGAGTACGAAATTGTAAAGCTCAATGAAGAATGATTGACTATCATGTTGAAAAAGCTACAATTAAAACTCAAAGACTTAGAAAGTTTTACTATTCCTTGCATTATGAGTAACTCGTATTTTGATAAAGCCTTATGTGATTTAGGCGCTAACAAAAATATAATACCTCTCTTTATTATTAAATAGTTGGGCATGCAAGAATTAGAACCTACTTCTATGTCTTTGCAGTTAGTTGATCGATCTATGACTTATCCACAAGGCATAATGGCAGGTATCTTGGTCAAAGTGCACAATTTTATCTTTCCAATAGACTTCATGGTATCATCCTAGGTAAACCCTTTCTTGTCATAGGAAGGGTCATCATAGACGTTCCAACAAGGGAAGCTAAATGATGAGTAAATTATTTTTAAAGTCTTTAATTCTCTTAAGCACCCTTCTAATTTTGATTTTTGTAATTTTGTTAGTGTTATGGATACTACTTCTCTTTCTTTTGATTTTGTGTAAATGGGAGAGGATACTTTAAGAAAGATTCTCAAACCTAGGAGAGACACAGTGCTGGATTCCAAAGTAGTGGAGGATGAGAATTTAGCTTTATGGTTAAGGCACAAACACTTTGAAGATTTGGGAGAAATTGTCCTACAAAAATCTAAATCATTAATTAAGGAACCCTTAGATTTGGAGCTTAAATCTCTTCTTGTTACATTAAATATGCTTTTCTCTCCCTTCTATCTTCTCTTCCTATGATTATTTTTTTTAATTTAGTAGGTGTTATAGAGAAGTTGTTGTTTAAAGTCTTAAGGAAGAATAAAAGAGCCTTTAGGTGGAGCATTGACTTTGAAATATTAATTTGTTATGTGTTAGTGAAGAGCAATTCTAACTAAATTGGATGTGATCTTACTTAACATAATGCAAGATGCTAGTTGTTTGTTGAGTAATTTAAGATTAAGTATTTTTAATTATTATTTGTTAGTAAAAAATAATTATCAATCATATGTGATCCTACTTAACATAATGTAGGATACTGGTTATATACTGAGTAATTTAAAATAGCATCTACCTTTAATATATTTAATTATTGTTTACTTGTGAAGAGTAATATTCAATAAAGTGTGATCATGCTTGACTTAATGTAAAATATTGGTTATATAATAAGTAATTTAAGATTATTCCTCTCTTGGTTTTAATTTAACTTTTTTCTTCAAATTTTTCTATCGTACGATTTTTTTATGTTAGATATTCAGCTTGAAAACTATTTTTATGAATATGATCTTGTTAGTTCATTTAGCTCAATTTTATTATTTGAATTATCTAAGGTATAATTAACAAAAAAATATAAAATTTATGAAAAATTATTATGATATATATTTACTATTTTGATAATACCAGAGTGTCTATGCCATTTTGATACATCAATTGTAATCTCTACCCTTCTTCTTTCTCCAAATATTTTTAAAAATAACTATTATTGATTTAATTAAAAAGTAAAAAATATTCTAAATTAAAACATTTTAAAGGAGATAAACATTTTGGAATTACAATTCTATCAATAATAATATTTATTTCCCTTCTTATTTGTCAAAGGAGAAAATTTTTTTTTTACACAAACTAATAATTCATTTATTTTGTTAGAATTATTTGTTCAACTTCATAATTTATCCTTTATTAATGAGTTTTTATTTGACTAATATAAATATTTAATGCAAATGAAAATATATTAGAGAAAGAATAATAATTAATATTATCTTAAATTTTTACATAAATAAATGGTTAAATTAGTAGTTAATTCTTTAACTTTTAGTTTAATTATTTAACTTTTTTACGTAAACAAAACACATTCTAGCATATTTTCTAACTAGGTCTTGGAATCTTAAGAGAAGACAATAAGCAATGCAATGATGGTGGCATTGAAGTCACCAAGGAAGGTGGTTGTAGAATCGTAAAATATAAGTTGACTATAATAACTATGATAATTGTGACAAAGGTAATAGCAACAAATACAAATAATATACTAGTGAGTATAAATATAAATATTAAAGCCTCAAGGCTATTGTTATTGTTTTGTTTCCCTTATTTGCAAATGTTGCTTTGATAACTTAAAAATTTTGATTTCATTAGTGCTTACACCTATTCCACTTCCTAGAATCATTTTGTAATTAAGAATATTATAAAAACGAATTACAACTTGTATATTAATTTATTTTAATAAATTTTATAATTAATTTTATAAAATAAATTTTTGTGTAAAAAATATATAAAATAAGTATTTAAGAGAAAATTGAATAAGATTGATCATGGATATAGGTGTCCGCAGGCTAGTTTGGTTTGAATTTGAAAAAAAATAATTTGAACCAATCAAAATAGATTGGTTTAAATTTGTGTAAAAAAATTTAAAAATCCAAACCAATTTGAACCATATAAGAAAATAGAAAAAAGTCATTTTTTTATTTGAATAATTATTGACACATAATTTCAATATAATTACACAACATTCCAACACAAATACACAATTTCAAAACAAGTGTCAATCTAAAAAAAATAAAATTTAAAACAAGTCGAAACGCACTTTGCATGTGAAAGTGTGTTTTTTTAAGAAAAAAATCAACGCAAGTCAACGGGTTAATCGGACATATTATCGTGTCTACGGGTAAGCATAGGACCAATCCATTATCTAAAACAAATCACATCAGGTTTAATCAGATTGAACCCGTTAAGTATCGATTTAGATTATTTTCTAGTTTGAATTAGTTTGATCACTAGGTTTATTGATTTATCCAATCTGATGGACATTCCTGATTATTGATCTAATCAATTTTCTGAAATTTCTTTTTTACCATTATTAAGGAAAAACAATCCTTTTATTTAGAGGAAAATTGAAAAAAAAAGAGGAGAGAATGAAATAAGAGATATGATAAAGGGAAAAAACTTAAGAAGAAAAATTAGATTTAAGAAAAAGTGAATTTAAAAATATGATAATTATATAATAAAGTAATTTGCAAACAATGGCATTATACAAACGTTAAATTCAACTTTCACAAGACAACTTTTGCCTGTGAAGTATGTGCTCACCAATTCACCTTATCACAATCACAAACAATGAAATTGTTACTATTTAATCAGTTAGCTCACACAGAAAAGCTTGGATGCAGGTAGTTTCTTTATGTTTTTACTTAGCATTGTTTCCAAGAGACCGTAGATTTTGGAATACTATAGACTATAAATTTTATTCACTGAGGAACAAAGAGAATAAATTCACTATATTTCCATTATGCTTCCTTAAGGTGAATCTCAAAGACTTGGAAACATTATAGATAACAAAGTAACGTAAAAACACTGTACGGTATCTTGGAAACCGTAAATTTTTACTTCGCGTTGTTTCCAAGACACCGTATGTCCAAGCTCTTAAAAACAAATGTTTTGTGTCAGACCACACCCCCTTTGTATCTATATGAAACCGTTACATGTAATTTGATACTTACCAAGTTAAATCAACTAGCAATGGGACCAAAGTACTATACATGGTTCCTCTTCCGTAAAACATAAAAATTTCACGTTAAAAAAGTCCCAATTTGTACATCTATTTATTTATTTCATACAGCCTATCCAAAAATCTTACATGGCAATTTCTTATTGGGTAGAAGAGGTACTTAACGATACTTTTGTAGATATTTGATCGTGTGTTGGTAAGGAAAGAACAACAAACATTTCCAAAGCAATAAGTGGTAATAGAAGAAGCACATGGAGATAGATGATATTCCAAACCAATCGAAATTCAGATATAGATATCATAGGATCAGGACCCCTCTTCTCTTCTAAGCTATATATAGTGCCCATCTAGCCTACCCCAACCACAAGCGTGAAAAAAACACTTTCTCTTCGTTTAGTTTACAAAAACGTTTCTATAGAATTGTGCAATGGCTGCCTCAACAATGGCTCTCTCTTCTCCGTCATTGGCAGGGCAAGCAATAAAGCATGCCCGATCCACCCCCGACCTTGGAAGTGGAAGGCTCACAATGAGGAAAGCAGTCACCAAAACTTCTGGAAGCCCATGGTACGGCCCAGACCGTGTCTTGTACTTGGGCCCACTCTCTGGCACTCCCCCATCCTACCTCACTGGTGAATTCCCAGGTGACTATGGCTGGGACACTGCTGGGCTTTCCGCTGACCCAGAGACATTTGCCAGAAACCGCGAACTTGAGGTCATCCACTGCAGATGGGCCATGTTGGGAGCCTTGGGCTGCGTCTTCCCCGAACTCTTGGCCCGCAATGGGGTCAAGTTCGGCGAGGCCGTGTGGTTCAAGGCTGGATCCCAGATATTCAGTGAGGGTGGGCTTGACTACTTGGGCAACCCAAGCCTGATCCATGCACAGAGCATCCTTGCCATCTGGGCCTCCCAAGTCATCTTGATGGGTGCCGTTGAGGGTTACCGTATTGCCGGTGGGCCTCTCGGCGAGGTCACTGACCCACTCTACCCAGGTGGCAGCTTTGACCCATTGGGCCTTGCTGATGACCCAGAGGCTTTTGCTGAACTGAAGGTGAAGGAGATCAAGAATGGTAGATTAGCCATGTTCTCCATGTTTGGGTTCTTTGTTCAGGCTATTGTGACCGGAAAGGGTCCTTTGGAGAACCTCGCTGACCACCTTGCTGACCCAGTCAACAAAAATGCTTGGGCCTATGCCACAAACTTTGTCCCTGGAAAGTGAGCAAAAAGCAAAAGCGAGAACGTGAAATGACTAGCGAATTAAAATTTTAAGTGTGGATGAACTATATGTTGTTCAGTGAAATATATATTGAGGCTATGGAGAGAATGTGATTTATCTTTACATACATCTGTTCGGTGAGTTTGGATCTACCTCTAAATTTCTATTGTTTATGCACTTAATTAACCAAACTAATTAAACACAAATGATAAATCTCATAGGACGTTAGGAGGACAAAGCCGAAAAGGAAACCACCAATGCATGCGGATTTTGTTGCACCTACGAGTGGTTCAACATCAAATTTTGCCTTTGATTCTTTTACTGGGGATTTCAATAATTTTTATCATAAGCTCGATTTACTCATTTACATAGACTTTAAGATTTTAGACTCGTTTGGTTTTAAATGTTATTAGTCATTAAAAGCAAGTTTTACAAACTGCCTACTGGTAGTAACTGTAAACTATTTTAGTAAAACTAAAATGAAATATTTTAGGAGATGATATCTCGTCGTAAAATAATTATTACCATTTATTTTATTGATAATAATGAAGTTAATAATTTACTAAAAAATATATTAATACCTTTTAATTTATTAAAAAAATCATCAATTTAAAAAGAATATACCATATTCTCTCAGTTATAAGTACATTAATAAAGCACCAATATTTTATTCTATTATGTTTTCATTCTAATTATACACTTCGATACGATATCCTTTCATTGTGTAACAAACACTCAGCATTTAGTTTTCTTTAGCAATGGTATCTAACACTTTTTTATACATTTTTTGTTATTAATTAAAATTTATTAAAAATTATAAATATAAAAAAATATTAATTCTAGAATAAGAATAAAAAAAGTGAGACTAGTATAATTTTTTTAATTTTTATTAAATATTAGTGAATAATTAAAAATGTGTTTAGGGAACGTGTTAGAAACATTTTTCTTTTTTCTTTTTTGTCCAGTCCTCCACGTAGTTTAACTTTAAATTCAGGTCGTTGTCAATCTTAAGGGCCAAGTTTAGAATAAAGATCCGTGTAAAAGAGTGAGGTGAAGCATTTCACGTTGGTCACTTCCTGAATTTTGTCTGTTCTTTCCAGTTTTAACCTTATATCCTTTTTAAATTTCGTTTATAAAATACACCAAATCTAAAATTAAGTGCATGCTTGGTTTAAAGGTGCATTTACAAATACAACTTAATTAAGAACGTATTTTTATATCAGCTTATACTATAAATTTAATCATAAAACTTCTTAAAATAAGTAAACAAATTTATTCTAAGAAGTTATACTAAAAACAACTTACGAAAATTATAAAATATTTTTATAAATTCTCCATCAATTCTTCCAAATGCCCCCTAGATTAATTTACTAACAAAATTAATTTTTTAGAAGCCCTATCGAACGCTAATAAAAAATATTTAACTTTTAAAAATAAGCTAAATTATATACGCACTAAGACTTACATTCTGTACAATAGGAAGACGTGAGGAGTGGCTGTTTATGAAAAGTACAAAGGCCATGTTCTGTCACACAATGCCTTATTCAGTTATTTAAATGGATAACTTGCAAACAGTGGCCATTATCAATATGATATTCAGCTTTCACGAGATTGAAGTGCTTTTCTAGACTTGGTTCTCGTGACATACTTTTGCAAATGCTTTTCACAATCAGACAAGTAAATAGAGTGAAAATATTTAATTTAGAATAGCAGGTTCAGAAAATTGAGGCCTGGATGGTGATATTTTCCTAAGTGCTCATTTTGCATTATTTGCATATATACTATAGATTTGGAGATATTATACACTGAAGAGTTTTATTAACTTGATGGAATAGTAACAAAACCAACCATAAATCCCACTACTTGTAGGGGACTTCAAGCACATGAGAACACTTTTTATTACAAATATGAGACGCCTTATTCAAAAGGAAATTATAAATTACATCTCACCTCCTCTGGGATTTCAAACTGATTTGGATAATGCACATGTATAAAAAGAATAATGAAACTCTCAAAACAAATGTTGTATATCTACAAACACCACCCACAAGTAACATTTTTGCAGTGGTAGCTCTCACCAACAGCTAGTACTTCATCAAGGGATGTCTCTTTGACCAAAAATTTATGCATGTTGTAGACCTTATATGTGTAGAACATCAAACCATGCCTTCCATTTTATGTACCTTAGTCACAATTCAATCCACAAATTTCCAACACAATGTCATTTTTGGACAAAAATGGGTTGATTCTCACCCACAGCAGTGAGAAGATTGAAGCGAGAAGAATAGCCCAAACCAAAATGATGGTGGGAACACCTTCTTGTTTTCCCATTACTCCCTTGAGGAAAGGGTAAAGATGGACAATGACCCAAAGGGCAAAAAATAGCTTACCAAACAAAGGACCCCATGAATCATAGCCATTGTTTATAGCATCTGAGACACCAACAACGACTCCAATAATGTTAATGATTAGCAGAGTCAAAGGAGGGATCAACAAGGATGTCCACTTAAAGATGTAGAGTTCAGCAAACTCTCCATCATCTGCAGCTTTGGATGTGACAGTGAAGTTAGTGTTAACTCCTGCCAGAACTTTGAGCAGACCCTGAAAGAGAGCAAACAGATGCGAGGAGGCACCACCAATGACCCAGAACTGCTCATTCCTCCACCAGTCATGTATACCAACACCTCCCCATTGCATTTCCAGTATGCTAGTGGCAGCTATAGATATGAAGAGGCCCATGAAAATGATACTGGCATAATTGCTTATCTGAGAACACAAAAATTAAGCATTAGTATTAGGATGTCCCATATTAGCTAAGAATAAAGTCTATTCCTTATAAGGGTTAGGGTAGTCCTCCTTCTATGAGCTAACTTTTTGGAGTGAATTAGAAGTTACTTAAAAATTAATTAAAAGCTTCATGTCGTGCATTACATGATCACATTTTATGTTTAAAGCAATTCTTGAATCATGTGAGCATAGTACCTACAGGCATAAGTATAACCAATCCAAAATTCAACATAATATTAAAATAAATTCTGCACAGACTTCAGTTTACATTATAATAATTTTAATGCATATTGGTTGTGCTTATAGGCTTATAGTTATGTATTCCTGAGGTGTAACTTGTAATCAAGAGTAATGCAACTAATCCTACCTCAGGGACTATGAACTTCCCAGTGAGTAGACAAACGGCTGGCAAAGTGCAGTAGGCGAGTAAGGGAATTGAAGTCAGAGGATAAACAACTGAGTTTATGTAAGAGAACCGTTCCAGCCATTTCAAGCCACAACCATAACCATACCATATAGGACAATGCCTACTCAAAAGGATCTCAACAGATCCAAGTGCCCACCGAAGAACTTGATGCAGACGATCCGAGAGATTTATAGGAGCCGAACCCTTAAAAGCAGGTCTTTTTGGCATGCAGTACACAGATCGCCATCCGTGACAGTGCATCTTGAAACCTGTTAAAATATCTTCTGTAACAGAGCCATAAATCCAACCAACCTGAAAGACAATTTTAGCAGAGGGCTAAATACAGATAGACAGTAGCTTAAAAGAGCTATAAAGCCTTAAAATTTGAAACGAATAGCATACCTCTTTACCCCATTCTGTCTTATCTTCATAACCACAACTAATTACATGGATGGATTCTTTCAAGAGTGTTGCAGAAGATGCTGCTTTGGGAATACCCCCATCTTCCATAAGTGTTGACGCTATGAAAACAGATGATTGCCCAAATTTTTTCTCAAACTTTAGTTGAGACATTGCTGATGACTTCTCATTGTCAATTCCTGTGATCCAGGTTTCAAGAACACAAAATACCATTACAAAAACTAGTAGGTTTGTAAGACTGCAAAGACAGTAAAAGTATGCAACACAAAATAAATATTACTACAATTTATAATAGTCCAAAGTTCTGGCCACTGCATCTCAAAGGACTATCTAGTGTCTTAGAATACTTCTGAATGTTTTCAATGATACAGCCAATATGAGGTATTCCATACCTTCAATTTCCTCTTCAATATTTTCTAGTGCATGCATTTCCTTTCCACCATCCTTGTTCTTTATCTTCTTTCTCACACTAGACTTTGCTTTAGTCTTTTTCTTCCTAGATCCACAACACAGACAGCAGCACCATTTAGGCCAACAGTTACATGTCTTCCCAGGTGGTTTCTTTGTAGTAGGGGCATCATATCCATAAAGTGCCTGCCTCCTGAAGACACACCCAGTTCCTACGTATATTGGTCCTTGGATGCCATCTAAACCTTTCATATTGATCTAAATATATTCAAACAGATATTAGCATTTCTTTCAAAGTGCAGAGCATATATATGTATGTAGGTAACGAGCAAATTCTTACGTACATCAAAGAATACAACATTTCGGTTCGAGTATCTATCATGACGATCAATCCCATCAAATCTTTGAGGAAATTGTACATAGCATATCTTTTTCCCTGATGTAGGATCCATCATGAAGCACATGGCTTCACGTAGGGCCTTACTGTTGTTTATGTAGTGATCACAATCAACATTCAGTAGGTAAGGAGCATTTGTGATTATTGCCGAGACTCGCACCTTTATAATCAACCCACAAAGCATAAAAAAAGTTAGGATAAGGGAGACAGAAGACAACTGAACATTTTCATGTGAGTTGAGGGACTCTACCAAAGCATTCATAGCTCCAGCTTTTTTGTGGTGCTCATATCCAGGTCTTTTCTCACGGGACACATAGACAAGACGAGGTAATTCATTTCCTTCAATATCACGAACACCATTTTGACCAAGAAAAACCTGTAGAATAGCATCACAGTTGAATTCATACACATGTCACGTGGACAGCACTTTCAATCTAGACAAAAGACCAAGGTAACAATAACAACAATCAAGCCTTATCTCACTAGGTGAGGAGACACAAGACCAAGAACGCATCATAGAATAGTACTCACTTGTATCATTCCGGGATGATCTCTGACGTTGTTCCCAGGCCATGGAGTACCATCCTGCATTGTCCAACCATCCTCAGGAACCTTCTGTGCCATTGCAACCAATGCATTAATCCGCACTTTGAACTCTTCATACTCCCTCTGTGTCAACACAATTGAAAACACCAAATGAAACCTTTTATTGGTTGAAGCCAAATAAAAGACATGAAAGATGATAGCAGTGAAGAAAAACTCAATCATAATTAAAGAGAAACTGCTGCAAATTGCAATAACTAAATTTTCCTCTGGCATAAACAATGTTTCTCAGCTACTCATATTTCATGCCAAGGTGGAAGTTTCGAGCTTAAGGCTTTTTCTAATTGTCTGAAAGTGATAAGGGAGATGAGATAATAATAGGAACAATTTCAAACCTTAATAGCACGACGTTCTCTGATAAATGCTGCATCCACTTTATCTTTCAGATAGTCAACCTTCTGAGCAAAATACCATTCGGGAGCCCGAGGTTCGATGCTGAACTTCTTGCAGAATGGTACCCATTTCCTTGCAAACTCAGATGTCTCAGAGAGTGCTTCAAATGTAAGCATAGCAGCACCATCATCAGAGACATAGCATGCAACCTTGTCCACTGGATAATCCACAGCAAGGATGGACAGAACAGTGTTTGCAGTTATAAGTGGAGGTTCTTTCATAGGATCCACTGTACTAACAAATACGTCTATATCAGCTAATTCAGATGGCTTTCCTTCTTTCTCATACCTGTGATGTTGTAAAGCATTAACCATAGAGTAATTAATAACAAAAAACAATCGCATACACATACATACGGAGAGGGGTAAGGAAAGTAAAAATACCTCAGTGATAAACGATCAAGGTATGTTTCTCTTTCAATTGGGCACCATTTTGGGAACTGATCCAAAATCCATGATACAGCAAACCAGATTTCACATATTACTGATGTCAGCCACAAGGCATATGCATCATTGACTGGATGGAGAATTCTATAATGGAAAAAGAGGCCAAGAATAGCAATCCGGAGTACAATTACAATTCTGTATGGATTTATCCTGCTTGAACTAATTGGCAACTTTCTCCAAAGTGGCTGCCTGCCTTCATCCATTCTGTTAACATAAATTTTAGATTAAATTGACTTAAATTAAACCGGAAAGGAAAATGTAAATGTAACTAGACTTCATGACAGCAAGTGATGCATTTTCAGTTGCAGCTGAATCTATAATAGTCGCAAGATATGAAGAAAAAATTGTCCCTTCTTATTCAACTATATATTTTGATATCCAATTGTAGAAAGTGAAAACACAATAAGAAAGTAAAAAATTCTTGCTTAAGGATATGTACTTAAAATTACTTTAAATGAAAATAATATTTAAGTTGTGTGAGGTGAAGCAATTGCTCTGCATGTTTGTTTCTTAAACTGTGTCATATAGTCCAGGAGAATTCAGCTTCCAGTCATGTTAACATTCTTGGTTTAGCATTTAATTGTTTGTCAGAACCACAATAGTTTGGACTTGATCTAATTGGAGTACCTGATTTTGGCCTCAAATAAGTAGAAATAAGGTAACAGTTAAGCAGACAAATGAGAACCACCAAGAAATCTCAGCTTGTATTGCGACTAAATTTCAATAAACAAATTATAATAATTAAATAGTATCACCTACTTTGGTAAGTCTGGATCATCCAGCTCATCACAATCCTTCCCTTCATGCTTAACCACCTGAAGTTTATCACTTTGCTTTTTCTTCCAATCCTCCATCCGTTCCTTCCATGCAACGCTTCCATATCCATAAACTGCTATATCTTTTTTAGGGTCCATAGGTCGGGGTTGAACTGCATCATCACCAGCATTAATTTTCATGTAAGAAGGACACCGAAACTAGTATGAAAACAGGCCCAACAAGAAGTAGCATAGTTTAAACATTGTGCACATGCAAACCAAAACAAATAAAATTACTTACCAGGTACAGATGAATCAGGAAAAGGCATAGGATGAACCCGTTTCCCTCGAGCCATGAATGGAGGAACAATGAGAGCATGTTTATCAGCAGCAATGCCGACATCCTTAATTGACAAAACCATAATCAGATAAATAAGCCTAGAAATAGCATAATAAAAAAGACGAGAACAACCACCACAAGTGCTGCTGAAAATGAACTAACCTCTTCACCATATGTCAGGAGAGGAATATCAGCAGCTACAGAAGCTGCATCAAACTCTGATGGTGTGTTGATCCCCGAACCATTCACCTGCGAACCACGGCCGATATTAAGGCGAGCAGAGAGCATGGCCACAGCAATGTGATGAGGATCTCTCCTAATATTGCTTGCAATATCAAACTCACTTTCCAAATCATCAGTATCATCCTCTTCTTCATCACCCTCGACTCTAGCACTACCTGATATCAGTCGCAGTGTTAGCCAAATCCACCAACAGGTTATGCTATATAACAATAGAAACAAAGGTGAAAAAGAAACACACAATACAAACACCAAAGCAAAATTTGTTTGAAGCTTCACCTTTGATGCGCTTGTATCTGGTTTTGCACTGAGGACAAACTTGGTTACCCTCTCTTCTTTCATACTCATAACAAGGTCTGCACACAGGGAAAGCACATTCATTACAAGCAACAAATGGCTCCCCATCCACTGTAACCTCCAACTCATCCCCACAGATCTGACAAATCTGTCCACTTAATTCTGTAACTGCAGTCACCTGCAAATCATAGTAGTAATGGAAACAATGATCAGATCATGAAAATTGGATGGTACGGTACACTGTAAGAAGATGGAAGGTGCACTTTTTTTATTATTTTCGATAAATAGGTACACATGAGTTCTTTTTATTACATAAAGCATACAGCATCAAAATTTAGAACTTTCATGCATAAAACCATAGGCTCTGAAATTGATAATCCGAGACAAAAAAATAACAAGGAAGAACAACAAAAGGAACCCAATTTTTCAAAGGTAGATATGCGGAAAAAAAATTATTTTTTTCATGTCTCTTTCACCACGAAGCTGGAGGGAAACTGAAAAGCAAATGGAAGAGTTTGGATTGGAAATTTTCCACAATTAACGCAAACAAAATAACACACGCACAGAGAGAGAGTGAAACTCTCATTGTGAGAAAAAGAAAAAAATTTCAGACACAATTTCCAAAGTAAATGCTCATATAAGGTACCAAATGCGCATAGGAATGAAATGAAGGACTCAAAATGCAGGACAACCCAATTGGGTCACAGTCCAGTATGAAAATCCATGAGGAAAAAACACAAGAATTGTTTTCTTCTTCTTCAAACTCTTGACGTGGCTATGTGGGATGAGTTGAAGAATAAGGACAAAAATCAGAAAAAATACACTTTTTTTTAAGGCTATGTGGCTGCAAAATCTTCATACTGAGTAATTGAGAAAGCAGAAAGCTAGATAGAGGCCACTCACTCTTGCAGTCTCATCAGCATTGATAAGAACAAACTCATTCCTGTTATGAGAGCCAGCAACTAGTCTTCCTTTAGTATCCATTGAACCCTTCACTCACTCACTCACTCACTCAACACCTGAACCTTCAAAATATGAGAAACCCCACTTCACAAACCACCCTTCTCTGCCTCTTCCATGCTCACCAAGAACATAGATTCATATACAAAGCATGAAGCTAAATATAAGAAAGCTTATTAAAATAAGATTGAAACTAAAGAAAGTTGTTTCTTTTAGAGGGTATAGTGAATGAAATGATTCTTTTCTTGAGCAACCCGGTTTTGTAACAGATGGGTAGCTTTGCTGTGTTGCTTGCTGCCACTACTGTTTTTCATATGTGAAAAACACAAGCTTGCAGCATTTTCAGCAAACACAATATAAAAGGGTAAAATAAAAGTGACAAAAGAAAATGAGTGTAGGAAAAGAAAGAGGGGAAAGGAGGAAGAGAATTTAGGTACGGATTGGAAATTCAACGGAGAAGAGATGAGACAGAGTCAGAGACAGAGAGATAGATACAATGTGGGATGTACATCATGTATGTATAGGTGTCTGTGCATTGTGCAGCGTTAGTTGGATCTCCATAATTGTTTTTCCTTAATAATACACTCGTGGATAGATTCCACAGTAATGTTTTTGTTTTGCCTACGAATTACTATTAATTATGTTTGCTGCATGTTCATGTTATTTATGAAAATATTTACAAGTATTATCTGTGTTTTGTTGTTTTTATACCATCAATTCTCTGTAAACTAAAATAGTTGTTAAACCATGCATAATACGAGAAGTTAAACCAAAAAAAGTATAAAACTAAGTGTATGCTATTGTTGGAAAAGTTAATTTGCTGTCTGTGTGTATCAAGGACATTTTTCAGTTGACTGTTAAAGATAAATTCCTTTAAAATGATCAGCAAAATAACTTTTATTTTTATCAATAATTAAAATTACATCATTATACTTGACTCAGTTATTTATTGATTATGTTCAACTTTATAAATAAATTAATTAGTTTTTATAATATATTTACAAACACACATATGTTAGTATACGTGTATTGTTCTAAAGTATTTGTATTTTTCGAACATAGATAGAGGCTTAAAAATGGGGAGGGGGCGGGGGGGAACTAAGATGAAAATTATTAATTACTCCACTAAAAGTTATGTTCTTTTTTGTTATTCGGTAAACTTGTGAGTTTTGTAAACATACTCAAAAAGGGAAAAGTAAATATAGCAAATAGGGTTTTAGGATATTAGGGTAATGAAAAATAGAGTTGTAATAAAGAATTCTACATGTTTTTATGCGAGGAAAACAAAAACATTTTAAATTAAAAAATTGAACCAATTCAATTTATGAATTTATGATTTTAATTTTTATATTTTCTTTTCAATTAATAACTAGAAATATTAAAAATTTTGAAAGGTCAACTTGTTTATTTAGGGATAAAAAATAAGTTAAGTTGCTCATTAGGGCTATAACTTAAGCCACATGAGACTCAGGTTAGATTAAATTTATTTAATAAAAAAATCAACATATTTTTTAAAAACAATTTAACTAGAAAAATGATTTAATTCATTCAAAAATCTTTTTTCAAGTCTAACCAGATGACATATTTAAATCAACATAAATCATAGTGTGTTTTTATAATCTTATTTAAATAATTTTATCATAACGTAAGCTTCCAAATACAATTTTAGGCTAAATTAAGCTTTAAAAAAAATCGAACCTTATAAAATATATAAATAAATTAAACTTAAACTTTCAATTTAAAAAAGTTTAAATAAGTCCTTTATAAAGCATAATCTACTACAACTTTTATCTTTTCTGTTACAGAAGCGTTTAGAAGAATTCATAAATATTTATAAAAATAACTAATAATTTGTTTCCAATAAATTTTATAACCATGTTCAAAATATAAATATTTATATAATAAAAATTTATTAAAAAAACACTTAATTTAAACCAATATTCAAGCGAATCGTATATGAGGAAGAAAAAAAGCAACTAATTTTCTCTTACCAAGCCAGAGAGCGGGGAGAAAAGTCACGTGTGGTTCGTGCTCACGAGATGTACAAAATCTCACGATACATTCTATTAAACTATCATGTGAAGCAATAGTGGCGTACAAGTACAACATAATAATAATTAATCAGAGTAAATTATCGTGACTATATATTGAAACGCCCAAAATATCCTTCCCCGAGTCTATTTTAGAATTTATTTTTTAAGTTTTTTCTTCCTTTGAAGTTGCAATGAAAATAGTGAAGCTCAAGCTTGTCATGACTCGTGAGTGTGCATGACAATGATTATAGAACAATGCTTTTCTTGTTTTTCTGATAGGTATAATACTGATGTTTAGTTGTTTGGTTACCAAATATTTCAAAACAGCCAAAAAATACCATAATATTAAAAAATAAAAAAGTATATTGGATTAGAAACTACACGTAAGTACCAAATTATAGAAAGCTGGAGTGGAAGATAGTGTTTTTCACAGGTTAGAGATTACATACATCATACGTATCTAAAAGCTTTAGGCTTGTAGGTAAATTACATCATGATAAAGAGATCCAAGCCTTTTTTTCTTTACCCCCTTCTTCTTATAATATCATAACTATAAATTTATATTATTGTAAATTAGAAATTAAAAAATATAAAACTGCAAAAAGTGATAATTTAATTTAAACATTTAATAAATGCCATTTCATCCATTAAAATGTAGTCCATAATCATGAACAATATAGTAAGCTACCATAGTGATGGTACATTGACTCTGACCTTTTATATATTTGGTTTTTCGTTGAAACGATGTTTAGACTAAGGAAAATAAAATAAAATAAAAATTATTTCCATATTTTCTTCATCATAATATATACAACGGATTTCTAATAAATGACCAAACACAACCTATATTTGTCTGTACATTTTTTTTCACCATAATATATATATTTATTTATTTATGGTACCAAACATTCCACTTGCGGGATATATAGAGTACCTAACAAGATTACATGAAAATGAAATAACCAGACCACGAAATTCGTTTCTGATGTCCCTGGCCCCAAACGTTTAGTGGGCATGTATTTCGTACAAAGTATATATATCTTTGTGATTTTATTCCACACGAAACAAATCAAAATAAATATGTTATGTAAGAATTAATTAACTTATACCACTTCAAAACAACTTTCACAAGACAACCATTAGTATCTCTCTCACTGCATTAAAACAGTTTTTTTTTTTTTTTCTCGTGGACAATAAACACGTGTACGTATTTTTAGGATCTTCTTACTTAATCATCTTAAAACACTAATTAAAATTTGATGAATAATAAATTTTATTAAAAAATACGTTAAAATGTGTCAAAAATTATAGGAAGTGTCTTTTCACATTTTTAAATAAAAACATATATTTCTAATTGCTTAGTCGGTGTCTTTAATATACTAGTTAGCATTTTTCTGCTTTTTAACATCGAATGAGTAGTTTATACACTATAAGAGAGAAACCTTATTGAAAATAAAAACTATACTATCTTGAGTTGGCTTCATAAATATATAATATATTTTAGCAAGATCTAAAACTGAAAAGTAAACATAATTTTGTATTGTATATTTGTATACGTGTTTAACACCCCTTCTTCTATTCCTTAATTGCAAAGATCTCTCAGTAATTTAAAATTTAGCAACTCAACTTACAAATTATATGCTGAATTAATTTGTATGTCGTTAAATTATTTAATTTTTTTAAAACAAGTCACTATATTAATTTGAAAATATGTAATCAGGTTCTTGAACAGTCAAATCATTTTTAATTGGATATCTCCATGGGTTTTGTTAGATTTCTTTTCATGTAAATATTAAATTAAAAAAACAAACACTTCAAAAACTGTATCATTATTTAATTATTCATTAAATTCTTTATCTGTTTTAAAATTTTAAATTAAATACATATTGTACTTAATGAAACTCTTAACAGAAATCTGACCAGAAACTTAATTAAAAACAATTTAAAAAATTCAGGACTTATATAAATTTTTTAAAGTATATGAACTTGTTTTAAATTATCCATATAATTTAGGGATTTGTAGGTTAATTTAACCTAAATTAAAAATACCAAAACATGGTAACTTCTCAAATAAAGATTTTCTTAACACCTGCACGAGGGTTTTGATAAAACAAAAAATTTGCACTCCATAATAAATTTAAGCAATCGATCTGTTAAGTTTTAAGCTATGCATATTGTTTTTATAAGCACAAAATTACAAAGGATTAAATACAAACTGCAGTTAAAGGAAACTGTTGGGGAGAGAAAAAGGGGTTTTTTACGTAAATAAAATACTTTAAATATAAAATTATGCATGTATCCTAAATTTTTTTTTTACATAAATGTCCTAAAACTGGTACACTAAAGTCGATTAAAAATGACTTTTTTAGTAAATTTATCATTACAAAAGTGGATTGAAGTCAACTTCCGTTTTTCTCATTTTGTTCCAAAGAAGTCGATTGAAGTCGACTTTCCTACTCTAAAGAAGTTGATTAAAGTCAATTTTTATTTTTTCATTTTTGGGTCCAAAGAAATCGATTATAATCCACTTGCAAAGTAAGGAGAAATTGATTAAAATCGACTTCAATGTCATTCTGGAGACGAGTATAATCGACTACTTTATATATTGTTCAATCTATTAACACCATAGAGAACCAAGACCAGAGAGAGTGAGATTGAAAAAAAGTGGAGATGACAAAGAAAGATGAATAACGATCTATATTAACTTTGTTAATCATATTGCAAGCAAACTTAACACACAGGTAAATTAATTTTTAAATATATTTAGTTAAATTATAATTAATTATTTTTGTATTTGATTTAATGTATTATTAATTGTATAATTATATGTTTGGAAAGATGTGTAAATGTTAATTATTATATTGTAAATTAAATTTAATTGTTTGTTATAATTATAATTATTATATTGATAAATTAATTAAAATTCTATTATATATTTTTAATTATTATGACAATTTGGTGGAGCACAACACATATCAATCAGCTCGATAAATATTGATCATTTGCACGCTAAGGATAAAAAGGGTGATCTAGATATATGGTGGCCTGATTATCATGTGACATGGAATGTTGCATGGGAGACACGTAGGGAGCGACGAGTTTAGTATTCTCTAGCTGATGATGATTGTCCCTCTGTCGAGTATTTCCAATGGTACTTATCAATAGCTAATAGATTTTTGTCATTCGATAGAGTCCCACAAGATGCAGAGCTTAAGTACTTGTCTGATGGTGTACCACTACATGCCTCTTCGATACCTAACATCACACACACCCAGATGACATTTCAGATAGACACTCTTTCAAACGTCGTTTGTGTGTAGGTACGTGTGCTAGTAGATGGGCAATACAAGGTTGGCCTTTCTCAACACTAGTTCATGTCGGACCCTAGCCAACCATGTATGACCCCCAGCCAGCAGTTTATGGCAGGCCCTAATCATCAATTTATGTTAGATTCTTTTCTTACTGTTAGTCTTATGCAACATTTTGTTATAGG